GTAGATCCATTTGTAGTCTTACAGGCCGCCATCCTTTTGAGACGCATAGTATTTTCGTTAGTATTTATTCACAGCGTATGAGACTGAATGGTAAACGATCCGAATGACTTCCGGACAGGAGAAAGCTCTACTTTCCATTTTACTTCTATAATAACAAGTTCTACCACCTTGTCAGTTCAATAAACTCCGTTTTTCATCATCGTTTCCTAGATTATTACGATAATAATTCCGCTGCTGGTTACAATAATCTCTTACTATACATTTCTGATTTAGACAAAAACTCTGTTTCATATTTACTGTGCAAAAAGGAGATATTATGTTATCCAAAAATATCAAGAATTCAATTTACTTTTTATTCGCAGATGAAAAATGGATGATAAAAAGCGTCATGATTAGTAGTACTCATGTTCAATCAATGTATCATGATAAAATCAAGCTACGCAAATTAGCTTTGGTTATGTGTTTTTATACTCTAATATAATGAACTTTAAAAGCAGATTTAGTGGACCGTTCATAAGCAGTGCGAACGTTTTCTGCAGTTGCGATAAATGGTTTCTGAATATCATCGGCACACTCATTCATTTCTGTTATTAAGTATCGCATAAAGTAATGAAGTGTTCTTGGTGTTGTAATTTTATTAATGATTTCCGCATTTTTTGTGTTAGAGTAGTTCACAAGTGTCTTAAAATCTGTGAATGATTTACAACGACTTGCTGATACATGTTTATTCATTTCTTGCAAGACATAATCAGCATAATCAATTAATAATTTCGTATCCCACTTGATGGTGTGTACCACTAAGTTACCACTTGTAACACTGGCATCTTCTATGTTAATACCATCTATTTTAGGATAAAATATTGATAAATAAAAGTTCTCGGCTACAGTCTCTAGAATAATTTGCTGGTCAATCGAAGAACTGTAAAATAATTCTAATGATTGTTTATTAACGTTATTCCGCTCAAAGTAAAACCGATTTTCATCAATTCCATCAATAACGAATGCCACAGTTTTTTTAACACGATTTTTCATAAACAATGCAAAATGTCTCAAATCATTTAACACATTAATCGACCGAGTTGTTTCCAATGTTTTGGTTTGGAAACCTTCACCTTCAGCAATGGCCAATAATAAATGAAGCTTTTCACCATCTTGCCTGAGAGCACCTAATTTTCTCAAGTCATTTTCCAAGTACGTTAAAAGTGGTTTATCTCGATACAAAAGTCGTTCTTTAATCTGTATTTCAGCTTTACTTGCCCTATACATCGAATCATCAGTTTTCTGCAGAAACGAGTTCACCAGTTTTTCCAGTTTGCTCACGCCTTGGTCATTGTAGTAATAACACATAATGGTGATTAGTTCAATTTTCTCATCTAACGAAATATCTGGAAGAGTGAATGGATCACTGTCGAATGTGTTGATGAACTGTGTAACTAGAGCAGATAGAAGTAGTTGGCCGAATTCATTTGTTGACCATTTCATGATGCAGCTTTCCGTGTCACAATCCGCCCCATTCTTTGCTCTCTCTGTGACAAACCTATCGAGATATCCATCAATCTCTTTATTTAATATCAATACTTTGAAGTAGGCATCTGATCTTAGTGATTTGTAATATTCACATCTCAACAATGTTTTCCCAGTACCATAGGGTGCCAATGTTAAGAATGAGCTTGCTGAATGATCTTGTTGCAGTATTGCTTGAGGTAATGCTGGTTTGAATATAATATTCGACGTACAGTCATCAGCATTTGGTGTTGTAAAATGGTTTTTCATGTTAACGATGCCATAGTACTTGTTGAAATCTCTATTTTCTGCTTTCTTCATATCACATTCTTCAGCAGTCGATGGTTTAAGATAAATGCTGATCAACATGGCGGAGATGGCTGAAACGAAAACTGCGAGACAAATAAGCACGGTTCGTCGAAAATTATTTGTCGATTCTTCTTTCGTCTTTAGATTGCTTACAGGTAAAGGGGCCGGTGCTTCAAATGAAGTATCAGGCACTGTCGCCGTGATTGCAGGTATGTGTACCGATACCGGTGACACTGGGTAAGCCGCTTGCTCCGTGGTAAGAGGCTTATCGGCCGATACTGTTGGCACTGTATCAGCCGCCTGCTCCGTGGCAGGAGGCATATTGGCCGATGTTGTTGGTACTGTATCAACTATCTGTTGCGTGGTAGGAGGCGTATTGACCGATGCTGCTAGTACTGTATCAGCTGTCTGTTGTGTGGTAGAAGGC